TCACACCCTCCCTCACACTCGGTCCCTCTCTCCTCACACTCGGTCCCTCACCCCCCCCCCCGCCGTCCCACGCGCGGCCGCCCCACACACATTCCCGTTCCCGCCCGGGGCTCCCGCAGCCCGGCGGGGGGCGGGTGCCCGCAGCCGGCGAGAGGCCGCTCAGCGCGCTCGGCAATCGATTACAGGACAAGTGCGGCCGCCGCCGCCGCCGCCACAGAGCGCGCCCCGCGCCTCACGCGGGCGGGCGGGCACGCGCGCCCTCAGGGCACGGCCGCGGCCCCGCGGGGCGGCCCCGCACCGGGCACCCCTCACACCCCACACCGCGGGCACCGCGCTCCGCGCCCGCCGCACGGGCGGGGGAGGCACCGCCGGAGTTATGATTCAGCACTTCTATTTATAATCGGCCGGGGGGCGGCCGGCGGGGAGGGGCGCGCGGCTGCCGGGATTGTTACTTAATTAGACGTTCACGGTAAATACGAGCGGAGTTTTTGGTCCGTTTGAGAGACATCTCGGTTACGGTCGGGACTCTACGTGCCATTCCCCCCCCCTCTCCTGAGAAGTCGATGTGGTGGGGAAAGGGGGAAAAAAACCACCATTACTGTCCAGAGGGAAACCCTGGCGCTGCCCCACAGCCGAGGCTGAAGGAACAGTCCCGAGTGTTCCCCACAGTGAGGGGACACCCCATAAGTGAGGGACATCCCCCACAGTGAAGGGACACCCAATAAATCAGGGATTACCCCCACAATGAGGGGACATCCCCCACAGTGAGGGGACACCCAATAAATCAGGGATTACCCCCACGGTGAGGGAGTACTTGCACAGTGCAGGATCATTCCCATAGTGAGGGAACATCCCCACAGTGAAGGGACGTCCCCCTAAATCAGGAATTACCTCCACAGACCCACTCAGGGCCTAACCTGAACTCACCACAGCTGGCTGAGGGTGAATGTCCGATGTGCTTCCTCACAGGAGTTTTCCCTGCTTTCCAGGCATCCAGGTGCAATACCACTGTCCTGGCTTCTTCTCTGTGAGCTGCCAGGTGCTGATGACTGTGGCAATGCCATCATGAGACACCAGAATCTACCGTCCATTAAGGAGCTGAGGTATGTCATGCCCAATGTACACAGGTATTATTAAATTTAAATTTGCAAAGGCAAGCACGCAAACACTAGAAAGCATCATAATTCAGGCTGCCCATACACACTTGAGCCTCTTCACCCAACGGAGCAACCCATGGGAATAATGGAGAGTTATCTTTGATTTTCCTTGGTACTAAGGGGAGTAACACATGCACTCTACCACTGAATTTCAGACACGCACAGAGGTACCTCCATCACTACATACCCACGTTCTTTGTGTATCAAAGGCTCTGGGTACCTGGAAATTTTGCTTTCAAGCAAAATCTTAACTACAAATCTTGAAGCAAAAGCCCTAACTCTTGCTTTAACTACACACAAGTGCAATACTGTTGTTAGAGACAACAAGGCAAACCCCAGGTTTTCTTAGCACTGTCACTTCACATCAAATGAGCCACCCAATCCTGAGAGTGAGACAAACTCCACTTTGGAGAAAGACACTAAATCATTCACTCAGCCCAAGACACGGAAGTTAATCAACAGCTCGCTCTCTCTCCCCAGCGCTACAAATTTTAGCCAATTAGTCATTACACCACACCTGTGAAGTGGGTTAGTTTAACTCCTCTCATTTTGCATAGGAAGGAGGCAGAAAGGTTAGGGGACCGGCCCAAGGCCAAAGAGCTGAGCCTAGAAAGCACACTTCTTGTTTCCCACGCCTACGTTTCAACAACTAGACTTGGCTTGCCTACACCAGCAAATAGACTGGCATAGCTGGAGCTGGGTAATTACACCGTAACAGTTTGTGCCCAACAACTCTCGTTGCGGACACTCTCCTCCAGATGGGAAGTGACTTCCCAAAAGCTGTCCAAATGAATTCACTCAACAGCACACACTTTGAGTTTCGCCTTCCCCCCCACCCCTTCATTTTGGGGGCTCAAAATTCCTGAGATGTGGGTCTTGGCAGCATTTTGAAGTCTTTGATCACTTTTACAGACCATTAAAAAGCGGGGACAAATGCAAAACATGTCATTGAAACGCTACAAGTCTTGTTGTCAAGATTTTTATGGTGCTTTTCATCAAAATGTTGAAAACTGAAAGCTTCCAGCTGGCTCTCCTTACAGGTAATAATTTAATAGCTAACAGCTTTTCTCCCAAAGCTGCTAGAACCTGCTTGAGCCATGGAAGCTGATGGGAAAAGCCAGACCCATCCTGTACAATAAATATTTCTGATTTTTTAATCCTGCTGCTCTGTAAGTTTTCAAAACCAAACAAAGCTGTGAAAAAAAGGAGTGACTTAATGAAAAGTAAGGGGCAGGGGATAAGGTGACAGGGCTTGCCTTTGAAAACCAGCTTGTTAACTCCAAGGACTGCAGAGATGAGCATGTCCTGGCTATAGCAGCACTGGGGTGAATCACTGGTTTCAGTGTAGAACTTGGCTCGGGGAATGCAGCAAGGGCTCCATAGTGATTTACATCAACAAACTCGGCAGAGCAGCTGCAGTGATCTTGAGGATCAAGTGATGGCTTGGGGATCAAGAGACCAGGACTCAAATCCAAACACAGCCAGAGGTCCCCTGCATAATTTCAGCCAAGTCATTATTTCCTGTTTCAGTTCTCCTTTTCTAAAATGGGGAAATTATTGCAATGAGAGGGTTTTTCTCTGTCAAGCAGTGTCCCAGGAGCGATTCTCGGCTTTGTCAGGGAGTTCTGTCAGAGGTCACTCTGGCACACCTCTGAAAGAGCCATTTCTGGAATTCCTGTGAGCCCGATGGGCAGCCCCTTTCCCTTCCATTGCTGTGGACAGGACCTAAGCAGCCTTCCCACACTCTGCCTGCCTTGGGCCAGCTGTCCCAGGGATCACAGGCTGTGCTGACAGCCACCTACTTGAGACCCACGATGTCCTCCCAGGCATTTGCTCAGTCTCCATGGGCCTCAATTCCCCTCCTGTGTGCCGGAGACAACAGAGCTCTCCTGTCTCACAGGAGAGTTTAATTCTTCATCATCTGACAGCAAA